ACAAGATCTGACAAGATGAAGCAAAAGAAAAAAGTAATTTTCTGGCTGACGTTTGTAATTTCGGCGCCATGTTATTTTCTGTGAAAAGTAAACAAAGAATATGAAGACGAAGCATAAAGAAAAAATGTAAGCATTGTTGTGCACATGTTTGTGCTAACCAATTTATTATTTTTGTACTTGTTTTTGCATCCAATCACCGCGCACTTCATTTTAATTACATTTGCACAAAAAGTCACTTAAAAATCACTGAAATAAACCACCGACAAAATACACATAAAGAAAGCAAAACAGAAATAGCAAACTTCAAAATTACGAACATCACACACTTTTTTCTCAATTGTTATTACAAATGGCTGCTTCTCAACCGGTCAGATCTGTTCTAATTGGTTCATGTAGTTTATTGAGTCGTCTATTCCGCTCTTAATACATATGCATGCAAGTTATCGAAATGCTCATAATTTCGTTGTATCGAACATTTAGACACAATTGTATAAGTTTCTTCCCTAGGTAAGGTTATTAAAAACCTACGAAAATAATACTATTTGGCGTTGAAAATATAATTTTAATAGTTAAAAAAATTAAAAATGTCGGCCACGGACCAAATGAGGGCAATGCTCGATCAATTAATGGGCACAACTCGCAATGGAGATGATGAACGCGGAGTTAAATTTTCTGATGCTCGTGTGTGTAAAAGTTTTCTACTTGACTGTTGTCCTCATGATGTACTCGCTTCAACTCGCATGGATCTAGGAGAGTGCCCAAAAGTTCACGATCTGGCATTCAGAGCTGATTATCAGAGTGCTGCGAAGTCTCATGACTTTTATTATGATATAGAAGCTATGGAACATTTGCAGGCTTTCATTGCTGATTGTGACCGTCGTACAGAGTCTGCAAAGCAGCGTCTAAAGGAAACACAGGAGGAACTAACAGCCGAGGTGGCTGAAAAAGCAAATGCAGTACATGCATTGGCAGAAGAAATCGGCAAAAAATTAGCTAAGGCCGAGGCACTCGGTGAAGCAGGAGAAGTTGAAGAAAGTATGTCTTTAATGAAGGAAATAGATGAATTGCGATCTAAGAAAATTAAAGCAGAGCACGAATATCGCACATCAATGCCGGCTTCGACCTATCAACAACAAAAGTTGCGTGTATGTGAGGTATGTTCTGCATATTTAGGTATCCATGATAACGACATACGACTGGCTGACCACTTCGGTGGTAAATTGCACTTGGGTTTCCTTACTATACGTGAGAAATTGGCGGAGCTAGAAAAAACGGCAGGTCCACGTAAAGCAGATCTTAAGCGCAGTGGAAAAATAGATGAACGCAATGACGACAGACAGAGGTCTCGATTTTTTGTTGGTGGTCGAGAGCTAGATCGGCGTTCACGCGTACACCGGTCCAGATCTAGAGATCGCACCCGTCGCAATGAACGTGGAGGTGCAAGTAGTTCTGATGGTAGATCTGAGCGACGATCTGAAAAGGATAAAGAAAGGGAAAAAGATCGTGACCGACGTGATCGTGGAGATCGAGGGGATCGTGGAGATCGAGGGGATCGAGGAGATCGAGGAGATCGTGGAAGCGCAGTTTCGCCTATCAGAGAAGAAAGAAAACGATCAAGATCTCGCTCCCGTGCACAGAAGTACAGTTCTCGCCGAAGGTCTCAGTCACGTGAGCGGCATCGTCGTTAAAAGTGAAGAAGTTGAAAAAATGGAATTTTCTCCGTTGCATTCAATAACACTTTATTCGACCCCAACTACATACATACATATGATTTTAGTGTGTACATGACGATTCCGGTAGCACGTATGTAATTAATTACAAATTTTTTCGTATTTTATTATGTAACTAATCATAAATTCAATTCAATGTTTTCTTTTTGCGATTTCTTGAATAAAATCTCTTTCTCGATTATAGAAACATTTCATATACCTACCACCATTGTTCAGGTTTTGGTATGTAAACACTTATGCTTATTAAATAAAATATTAGTACGAAAATAGTAAACTTATTTAGGTAAACTAGTGACTGACCAGATTTGTAAGCTGAATGGACTATTTCAGAACAAGGTGTTACGAAAGCGCATGGTTTTAAGATTTCAAAACATATCCTTCACAAAAGATTCTAATTAAAAAAGATTTGCTTTGGCACATATTTTTAATGGTATGTAGTAACCTCAAATACACAAAAATTCATAATGTAAAGTGATTTTAACATCATTAGCATTGTCAGCGGCTACCCAATTGCATTTAAACCAAATTCAACATAGTATCCACTTTCCAGGGAATTTGGGTATGTATTTGAAGTAAAACAGTTATTTGAAGATAACTGAGTTTTTTTTGTAGCCCCCATCTTTGAAAAATATTTGTGGTTGGGAATTGAGTTGCCTGGCTTATTGCTATAAATTTTTTTCCACGAATGGATAATGTAAATCATAAAAATTACGATTGGCCCTGGTATGTATTTAAGTATGTATGTACATATGTTCTATCTCTATTCAAGTATAAGTCGAACCTTTTGAATTATCCATATTAATTCGAAATCTATTACTAATTGAAAGTGAGGAAAGTATTGTTGAAACCTTCAATTGGTGCAGATATAACAAATGTAGCTAAAGACAAATGCCAGCTAATTACATAGATATTCAACTTTCATATCGTGGTCATCTATGCAAAAGACTTTATGTGCGTTTTTTAATATTCAGACAGTTTGCTTTGAGATACACTTCTGCCCAAAAACTCAAATAGTCATCCTAAAAAAATACGAGATTTATTACCAGCTGTGAAAGCATTTCCAACGTTAATTGAATAAGTATTTTGCTTCTCCAAAATATCGAATTGCAAATTAGAGTCTTTTGCATTAATGACGACAGCATGTGTCTGATGTACTTTTTTCCAATAATTAGTAATGGCTAGGTGAGTATCCGCCATAGCTGATTGTGGTTACCCATGACGTACCGGCATGTTGCCCAATACGGACATAAAACATCTGAATGAGAGAAGAACTTTCCTTAATAGCGGTCGCTGATTTGTCAAACCTCTGACTGACTGCCTTTCTGCATAATACTGTAGAGTCGTGAATTCACAGAAAATCAAGGTGCAAACCACCAATTGGAGAAGAAGGCCGCTATAGGATCTGTCTAAGCATGTGCTAAATTATACATAGTTACTAGATGAGCTTTGCAACTAAAAGCCAAAAGATAGCGGCTGTCAATCTAAAAATACTACCTAGTTTGTTTGTATGTGTATATATCTTTATGTATGATTTGTATGTATATTACAATTGGAAACCAACCTACAGAAAAAAACTTATAATAATTCTAATAAAATTATTTATTCGGTACATACTGTACCATAAGCGTATCCGTAAATACAGATTGGTGTTTTTTCTAATCAATACCATCGCCAATTAAGTACGTACAAATGAACATTTCTCTGCTCGCTTAACGATAAATTTCCGAGGAAGCGACAACAAAGCGAACAATGAAGAGCACTACCGCGTACCTATATATAGTTTGTAGTAGGGATGTTACGAATATTTGAATTCGAATTCGCTTATGCGAATGATTCACATAATTTTTAACATTCGCATACGCCTCAAATGATGGGAATATATACATGATACCGGTGCATTGGCTATAAGTCAGCCTAACCAGGATGGTTACAATAATTTAGCTTCAGGCGGTAAAATAATGGTGAGCTTTCAACGATTTCTGTCAAAGGTCTCTTAATCCACCTAGCAGGAATTTTATATTCCTCTTGCGAAGGCTGGGGTGTAGAATTTGGAGACATTAAAATTTTGAAATCAATGAAAAGCGAGCCACTCGCGATTTGTGGAAAACTGCTTGAAAATATTTCAGAGCTCCACCGACATCGTGAGCAATTTTTCATGGACAAAAAGCAGCAAAACTACTTTTTCGGAAATATAGGTAATATAATATTTCGAAAAATTGCCAGTGTGAAATATATTACATTCGTAACATCCCTTATATGTAGTTATATACACTAGACGACAAATGAAAGTGTACACCTTGATCTAATATAGTATTCACAACTATTTTCATGAACAATTTTTTGCATTTATTTATAAAAAATATAGTTCGTTCTATAATAGGCGTGTTTTATTTGACCAGAAATTTAAGCTATTTGCTTAATACGATAATTGGTATTCTTATGTCTCGTAAGTAAACCGTATGCGCTAATATCATGAAGCAAACATTCGCACAAAAAAAAATCGAAACAAAAAGATTTGCTTTTGAATTTTTAAATTTTTTTTTTTATTTGCAGTCAAACTGTCAAAATTAGGCCAACATAGGAAATAAGCCAGTTTCGTTTTATTTGACCATGATTTAGCAATTAGCTTGTGATGGTAGAATAAAAAATGCCTAAATTGCTCGATGTTTTGCTCGCCGTTTCACCATGTGCGTACCCTAAGAAAAGTATTAATGGGCGGGATGCGCAAAATATCAAGCATCAAATTCTATTTTTCGATAAAAGGGCCAAGTTCGAATATTATCTTAACACTACGGGTCTTCCCTTAAACTCGTAAAAGCCTCGCAAACCTCGTAAATTTACGAGCCTCGGAAAAGAACTATCAAAACATTTATGGAGCACTATTTACGACCCCTCGTAAAATTACGGTGCAAATTTGATCGAAAACTTCAGTATTGCCGAGGGGCGGAAAATTTAACACTAAAATTTATTACATATATAAATATTGAAAACAAATTAAAAAAAAAAAAATGTGAATAGAAAGAATGAATTTCAACCATTAGCTGTACTAACTTGGGTTTTCTGCTAATTTTCGGAATTTTTAATTGTATTTTAGCCAATAGTGATAGAGACAAGATGGCGGGCTGTTATGGGGAATACTACGAAACCAAAATTGTTTCACAGCCACTATACGCACCTATTTACACATTTTCTTAAAGGGGGCGTTTCCATAAAGGCCTCGCAAACTTACCAAGTTTTACACAGTTTGAGACTTAACGAGTTTAAGAGAATCCCCTAACTGTATTTATAGGCTGTATTAATAGATAACATAAATAATGTGACCTTGGATAGTTTCAAAAAGGATTTAATAGAAATGTGGGACAATATATCAAACGAACTCGACCGTGCCGCCTGCGAAAATCGTCTCAAAAGTTAAAAGCTTTTTTCTTCTTCTTCTTCTTACCACTTCACTGACGAATCTGTCGTAGTTTAAAAAAATGAGTGGCGCCCTTATGTAAGTAGGAATTTAGAATGTAAATTAGGTATCAGACATACTACTGAGCTGCTTTACAAAGTAAGTTACGTAGAATGTAGAGCAGTCGCTCGGAGTAGTTCGGCGCTTGGAAATAACTTCGGCGGCACGTTATTTTGTAACTGACAGCGTAATGCGTCGTCGGAGGTGTTCATTTTGTGCTTTACCGGTCTATTCTGCACGTTACCGAAGATTTTGGGACCGGAAAATTTTATTACCAAAAAATGTTACCACTTCTTGTCACCGCGATTCTAGATACGTTGGTAATGCAGTGAAAATATTCAGCAACTCAGCTATGAATATTTGTGGAAATTCCTGTATTATTCACGGGGCAATATTTTGTTACCAGCTTATGAGATGGTAACCAAATTTACCGGTTACAAGAGAGCACAGAATGCGAAAAAGGTTTAAAAATTGACAAACACTTTAATTACCGGTTATAAAATTTATGTTACCAGTGCAAAATAGACCTGTTACTAGTAGATGACATTGGTCATGATGAGAGATTTTCGCCGCGGGTTATATTAGAGCAAGGTGTACACTTTCATTTGTCGCCTAGTGTATGTATGTATATTTGCTTAGCACGTTAAGGCATGAACGAAAGACACAAGATCACGCCTTAAGGAAAGAAAGAAAAAAGTTATTTTCTAGCTGTTGAAATCTCGACGCCATCTTTGTTGTAGAAGTAAACAACGAAGAGAACAAAAAAAAACGCGTAATTGTTGAACGCATGAATAATCATTTTTATTATGCAAATTCTCCTATAAATCATGTCGTTGTGTTAAATTATTCTTTACCTTATGTGTGCACACGTTGTCACAAGCGAAAATTAAGAAAATTGCAGTAAAAAGCCACCACCAAATTGTAAACAACGAACAAATGTAAACAAACGGCTTATGTCAAAATCGCCCTACTTTTTTCATAAGTGCGATTATAACGGGCCACTCTTCTGCTGTCGTGATCTTGTCTTTTTGGTTCAGCTATGGATTTAAAGGAGTTGCTAGTGGCGAATCAAAAACGGCTTATATATGTGTGGGTGTGTGAGAGTTACGTTCCACATACTACCAATCCACTTTCAGGTGGTTGATACAAAGTCGGCTACAAATTGTATTGTACCCATGAACCATGATTCAATAATACAAGGTTGGATAACCTGGCAGTTGTCTCGCTCCCGCATTCTGCTTTAGCCTGTGTTGCCTTCTTTTTTGATTTGTAGCAACTACTACTAAAATACAAGGGGAAAAATTGTCTTCGTATAAAAAGTTCAACAGGCAACACTGCCGATATTTTCATCGATTGTTTCGTGGGAATTCATTTTCTTATTGGGCAAATTCAAGTAAGTATGGCTAAAAAATAAAAAATAATAGAAATAATTTGAATTACAACAATAATTTACATATTTATTTGCAGGGTATCGGAGTTATTCATAATTTGTGTTCAAAAAGTAGCGTTTTACAACAAGTGCAGCCGCTGCAAGTAAGTTTTGCATGCTAGGATCCCTGTGTGTCCGTCTACGTATGGGTAAATATATTCTCCTGTGAAGACCAGGATCACTTGGGTGTCCGTCCACGTTTGCTGGTGCATGCATTTTTACCACTGCAGCGTTTGGTTGGTCAAGTGCAGCCTTTGCATATTTCCAAGTAAGGGCCGGTTGTTCAATGTCTGATTAGCACAAATCGGAGGTAGAAGCTCCGGTTAGATACAACGACTGCTTTATCGATCACATGTTATATGCATGATGTTGAAATCGTCGATAATGATGTTTAACCGGCAAGTAGTGATAACCAGACATTGAACAACCGGCCCTAAGTATACCACTCCATAAAAGCGAAAGTGGAAATATTAATAAAGATATTTTCTTGTGCTTATTGGGACTGATTGCAGAAAAAAGTACACAACATTACAAAAAATTAACAATTTTTAAAAATCGGAATGTAATTAAATTGCGATATTGAAGACATATATTTAAAGTTTACCCGATATAAAGATTAACAAGACTGATTGGAGAAAAAAGTAAAAAACATTCCGCAAAAATTAGATTTTTAAATAACCAAATGTAATTAAATTGCGATATTGAAGATATAACTTTAAAATGTAACCAATGTAATGATTAGCAAGACTGATTGGAGGAAAAAGTAGAAAACATTACTAAAAAATTTAAATTAAAAAAAAAACCAAATGTAATTCAATTTAAGATATTGAACATGTAATCTTTAAATGCAACAAATATAATAATTTTTAAAAGATTAATTTATATGCATTAAATCAACTGCATCTGTACTATTTGTATAATTCTTCATATAGTCCCTTTGAATAAAGGATTTGTTTGAATTCCATTAATTTTGTTTAATATATACTTATATATATATATATTTAATTTGTATACAAAAACGCATTTCAGCACTACCAGACTACTTACTTTTCCTACTCAAATGCAACCTTACAAGGCAGTCGATTGACACCAATGTCAATATTTAGCCAACCTGGTATTGAATCATGGTGTTAACCCTAAGTAAGTTGCAGCGTAACTTGTTGTATAGTGCGAGTGCCGCTTAAATATTTGTCTTTCCTTTTTATTGAACTTTCTGGTTAAATTCCTTGTATTGATATATATAAAAATCTCGGGTTAATGGCGAATTTTCCTACATTGGGGGCTCAACAAGGTAAAATAAGTTATAAAATATATCGAAGGTATATCTTCATGTACTCAGTTGCAATTTAAAATAGAAACCAACCGAAAAATTCTCGAGGATCTACAGTTGAAGAAGCAACTATTGCAGAAAGGCAACATACCCGGTCTAGGTGCAGGAATATCAACAAATACCCTTTATCAAGTATGTAACTATGTAGCTCGCAACATACAAATATGAAATGAATACTAAATCGATTATAGATACCTGCAAGTCAACTTTTGCAATCCTCGGACTTTTCTCAAAGTAGTGGATTAGCAAACGCACCACGCTCGGTGTTTAATGCAACAACATCCACTACATTAGGATTCTTTGTATCACAAGATTCTTATTACGGAAACACTTTTATACCTGTTTTACCCCGCCTTGATCCTGCGCCACCAATGAACTAGAACTATGGCGTGCATAAAGTTGAAAAAACTGGAGGAGTACTTAAATGGTTTGGATAGTTTTGAAAAACCGAAAATAAAATTAGAACAGTACATTACTCCCCCGCATATAGCAAGTTGTGTGCTCTACAACATACAGGTCTAGCAGTAAAGATGAACAATTCATAAAATATAAGTAAGGACACAACCATTGCGTTTGTTTGGCTACTTAATCTCGTTTCGTTGCTGCTTCCATTTGTTTCGACTCGGTAATACGGATGACAACCGAACTTCAGTTGCGTTGCCAGTGGCTGAAATGGTATCACATATGGCAACTAAATGCTGGTAAATGAGTTGCTAACTGAATTTTTGTGGTTGTCGCAGAAGTTTTTATGGTTTCAACTGTTTCTGCAGGTTATTCACACTAGATTTTCTTGGTTCCTGATACTTCAAGATTCTATTCAGAGCTATCACAGAATTCATCGTATCTTCGTTTTTCGTGAAATCTACGAAAGTTCTATCACAGAATCCGAATGGCTACGAATGTAGGTATGAAACGAGGAAGTAATGGTTTAGCGCCTGCTGGGGCAGCATAAATGTCTATTGTTTCATTTGCCTTAGCTAATTTTGAATCAGCATTGGAAGCTGGCAACGATATTTTCGAGTTCACTCGCATTCAGTGATAGCAACTTTTTCATATTCGTAGCAGGCATTCGAATTCGAAGATCTACGATAGATTCCTTATCATCTTCAAATTTATAGGACTTTACTATCTTTGCTATTCATTACAGATTTTTATTTATGATCTAGCTTTGCTGAGAACCAGCCAACAAAATCAATCCAGAAGAAAAAAAAAATCAATGCTCTGCCCATGGCAACCCAACTGAAGTGTCGTTGCTATCCGTAATCGACCCATACAATTCCATTTGAAACTACAGACACCTCAACATGATTTAATAATATCAATGTAACACACTTTCCTTTGTTTCCCCAATTATATATTAACCAAAAATGTGTTGGTCTGTATAAAATGCCCTTTGTTTTTAAGGATTGTGGATAATAACTATTATTTGCTATTGCCCATATGTGAATGAATTTAAATACATCGATGAATGTTGTGGTTGTGTGCCTTACTAACATGTTTGTAATAAATTAAAATATGTAATAACTTTTAATGATGTCGGCAATGCTCATATTTCAGACATTATACGGTGATATCGAAGGAAAATATGTTGCTGACTTGGGCTGTGGTTCTGGTATGTTGAGTATCGGCTCTTTTCTGCTCGGCGCTGGTATGACCGTAGGTTTTGAAATCGATGATGATGCCTTAAATGTAAATAGCATTTGTTATATGCATATTAACTCGTAATTGAGTAACAACTTTGTTTTTCCTAAATTTTTTTTAAAGATATTTCGTGAAAATGTAACAGATATGGAACTACCGAACTTAGATTGCGTTTTATGTGACGTATTGACATTGCCTAACAGTAAGAAATGGGAAAATGCTTTTGATACGATTGTTACCAATCCACCTTTTGGTACTAAAAATAACAGTGGTATCGATATGTGTTTTGTTCAGACTGGCATAACTCTAGCATCAGGAGCAGTTTATTCATTTCACAAAAGCTCAACACGGTATAGTAAAATGTTGCTTTAAGATAATACATTTAATTGTACATTCGCTGAATGAAAGCTATAAGGTCAAGAATTAAACGGCAACTTACAAATTTTAAAGTGCTCTGAACTTTATAGAGGATATTAAATTTTTCACAATACATATGAGGTTCAGATTTTGAAAGTTTTTTTTTTTATGATGTACATACAGTGCCGGACAAAAGTATTGGCACAGAGAATTTTTCGCAATGTACGCAAAGTTTTTTATTCTAATATATAATATGTGGCAACACTTTTGTCCGGAACTGTATGTAATTTTCTCTATTTGCCTATGCATTTTTCAGCAATGTACAAATATCGTCTATAATTTTATATTTTTCGATTCCACTAGCGACTACATACAAAAAAAGGTTAAGGACTGGCATGTCAAGGGCAATGTGGTGGCGGAGCTCAAATATAATATTGACACCAGCTATTCATTTCACAAAAGCAAGAGCGTTGATATCAATGTAGACTTCTGGAGATTTGATGTGTCTGAGAAAAATGTCTAATACGACTACTACATACGTCACCTTAAAAGTATACAATATTCTTAGTTTTTTATTTCAAATACTAGAAAATGTTTATACATAATATGCATGTTTATATGTTTAGTTCAAACTATAACACTTTCCGAACACTCGCTATTCCTCCATAACAACTTACAGCATTTTTCTAAAGCATTTATAAAAATGTAAAAAATATTTTACCGTTAAATGTAAAATATGTAGTGATATTGATAATAACAATTTTTATATTGTTTTTATACTAAGAATAGTGATTTGTAAGGACGTTGTTATTGTTTTATAAGCATAAGCCATTATACAGGTACAAGCTAGTATATATGATAACCAAAATATGCACATAAATGTATGTAAATAAGCTTTCATTTAACGCGAAACTTTCAATACATTTTATTATTTGCAAATATTATGTTCATAAATACATATGCTTACACATGCAAACAGTTTCATTAAAAATTTTGGATCAAACAATAAAAATTTTCTATCAATATTCAAAACAACCTATCGCCTCAACGAAAACAAATTCATGTATACCCTTATAGGAATTTTTTGTCTGGCGAAAATAATGAATTATTCTTAATGTAATTTTTAATTTGAAATTTGTATTTATAAGTCATACTAAGCTAAAACCCTGAGTTTGTTGAATGGCCTGAAGTAACTTATATTTCAAACGTTCTTTTGTATTGTAGCGAGGCAAATCTAATAAATTGAAACACGTATGAGCTACAGGGAGAAATCGGTCGTCATTTGTTGGTTGTATACAAATCTAAAAATACAGAATTTGAAACATTGGCCAAAGAAAAGTAAAACGGGAGTTAATTTACTTTAATGGCCTTCATTCCCTGAATGGGTATACGGTCACTTCCTGTCAAATATAAAAGAAACTTTTTCTTTTCACTTTCCGGTAAGTCATGGAAGACCTCCCAAAACCATCTTATCTGTTAACATTAAAAAGGTATATATAAAAAACGTATAAAAAAAAATCAGTTGACCAACCGTCTGATCGCCGGAATTGTAACCATTTTTGTATTCACATTGTAGCTCCAGCGCTTGCCAGTCATATTCTTCGTTGCCAACAACCACAGCCATCAATTCATCGGGTTTGAATATTTGCAGTACACGTCCCCAGCATACCTTTAAGATTAAAAATTCGTTATTTAAATTACTTAGATATAAATTGCCTAAAGATTATTGCCTTCATAAATCCTTTACGAAACGCGGTAAACTGGTTCTCCACTGCCTTGTTGAAAATAAAGTCAACATATAAGTCTACAAACTCTTTTCTGTAAAAATGTCTGTTGAGCGTGTGTTTAGTTAAAAATTCCACCGACTTACTTATTCTCCAAAGTAACAGCTGTTTGGCTACCATTAGGTTTTAGCTCCTCGGTTATCGCTTCACCAAAGATATCACGGGATATTTCAAAGTTTAAGTTGAAAACCTCTTCGAAATCAATTTGATTGTAATTCAAAATGGATTCCATAGAATTGGCTAATGCAGGTGAAATGTCGCGCAAATCACTAATATCAACAGGTTCATCAAGTAACTTTTTATAAAGCGCCAATGGGAATGGTAAATTTATTATAATAAAATTGTATATCGCTAGGCCACATATCACTCCAATCAAGAAATACATATCCTCTGTTTCAAATGTAACATCAGCAAACCAAAGTGTACGTGAGTCTTCAAATTCTTTGAACATGCCGTATTTCGGATCCAAAAGGTCTCTTAATAACAACATGAAGAACTCTTTTCGAACACCACCAGCGTCTTCGGCCTCTTCTCCATGAAATTTGATCTGTACAAAAGGAGAACATAAAAAGTTTTCCTTTTATTTCGAAAATTGCGTGTGTAAAATTTCAAACAATGCACTCTCTGATACTTATTTCGATGCAACATCAACTTATTAGTTGCTAATACATACTTTCAGTGGCTTTTTCAAGTCGCTTTGACTATATTGCATTATTTCCCGCAAAGTGTCCTGCACTAAATTCTCGCGAGAAACATTTAAAACAATGAACTGTGAAATAGGCGTTCCAAATGTTAACAGCGAAAGTATTCCCTGAAAAAAATATAGGAAAAATAACAAATGCCAAAGCATTTATTGCAAAAAATTAAAAAAATACCGAATTGGCGGCGTTTTGCATTGCCGCATGCATCTGGATAGCTTGATCTGTCTGGAGCAGCGTTGTTTTAGCTGATGCATTGAACAAAAACGGATAATTACATATATTGAAAGTATCGGGCTGCAAAGGAAAAAATTAAAAATTAATTCCACAAGATTTCAATGTAGTGTTGTTTGTGCATTTATTTACATTCTTCTCAAAGAGCCAATGTATGTAATCTTGTTGAATGTCAACATAATCGGTCAGTTCTGGCCAGTGGAAAATGTCATAATCTATTTTTTCAGCACGCTCTTTATGATTAATGCGATGAAGCACAACCAGCAAATTTAAAGCTGCTGACAAGTTGGAATTGTAAGTAACGAGCTGTATACAAATTATAAACACAAGTAAAAAGTCGCATTAGAAAATGAAAAAGTGGAAGATTTCTTTTGCTTTTACTGATTATTACCTTCTTTTCAAAGTGACCTCTGGAGTTTGCAGCTATTTTAAAACTGATAATGTGAGCAACTACATTTTTGTAGCTCGACACCAAATTTTCAAACCATTCAATAGGCGTTTGGGCCCACCACATAATAACAATTTTCCTAGGTATCTCCTTAAGTCGAAGTACAGCATTGCTAAAGGGCGTATGAAGATTTTCATAATTTTTAGAATTAACAAATTCATGATATAAAGGCAAAATTAAATAAAGTCTTAAAGTTTCTACGTCCGCCGGCGATGGCATGAGGGATGTAATTATTTCATTTGTAATTTTGTCCCAAATCTATAAGGTAATCAACAAAAAAAAAATATATATTATAAGTAATATTAATAGGCTTAGTACAACGTGTACCCACTATTTGTTTAAGGCTTTCGTGTTCTACTTTACGTATGTAGTCAAATGTTTGTTTAACTTCTACTAAGTCAACCCCAGGTTGCTTCGAGGTGCAACAAAAATGCTTATCTCCAAGCAAAAAGGATCCATTAAGGCAAGCTTGACTTTTAAAAATCACTTCTACGGTTGTTAATAGGTCCAAGTCGATTGATGAATCCTTCTCAACCATTGCACATTGCTTGGCTAATTCACTAGTTATACACATGATTTGAGTTTTAGGCCTGTAAATAAAAGCTCTATGCAGTTAACTCGCTCTCTGTTATCTTTAAATCACATACTCGTAAATGCGACAATCGAAGGCAAGTATATTGTCAATGAATTGAGAGGTAGTTACAAATGAATGATTGCCCCCACAAAAAATTTGCCGTATTACAAAACCCATGTCTGGATTATCTTTGGTCTCAGTATTCAGTAGTTTGGAACCGCTGGGAGATACCTGAAAGATACGATTTCATAAACTTTACATCGATATTAACAAAAACAAAAAAAAGGGATATAACATACCCAAGGTCCAACCATGACTTGTGGCAGCGAACAGCTATTCACTTTGCGTGTACCGAATTGTCCAAAACAACCTAATCCAAAACCGTACACCCTACCACGAGATGGCACTAAAGCAAGCGTATGTTGGGCTCCGCATGAAATTTGGGTAACTGTACTACCCATTAACTCAGTTACTTTTCTTGGCAATACTTCATTCATGTTGCCGCCATGTCCCAGCTGACCGTATGAACCTTTGCCACATGTGAAAACACCACCATCGTTGGTTAAAAATACAGAATATTGTTCACCACAGGCTATATAGCGCACACGCAGGCTACGAATTGTTCTCAATTGTGTTGGAAAATGTCGATGTGTAGTGTCGTTTAGTCCTAATTGTCCGCTATTATTGCGTCCCCAGCCAAATACAGCACCAGATTTTGAGATAATGAAAGAATGATTGCCCCCGCATGCAATAAAAGCAATAGGTATTCCCAGCAATGAGTTTACTATACGAGGAGACGTGGCGTGAGCCAATTCACTTGGCGGTGATACTCCTAATTGGCCATAGATGTTTGAACCCCAAGAGTATAAAGCGCCACCTGTAGATACAATTTCATTTATAGCATTTTGACAATTATAGGTTTGTATACTTACAATTAGTTAATGCAAGACTGTGATTATAACCACTTGCTATTTGTATAACAGTTTGAGTAGCAAGTTTTTTGATCATTTTCGGGGAAGGCACAACATCTAATCCATCTTGTTGTGCCAGTTGCCCATAGTCGTTATGACCCCAACTGTAAAGCTGGCCCCATTCACTGAGCGCTAATGAATGCCTAGCGCCACCACTTATTTCCGTGATAACAGTATTACCGAGATCATTTATAAGCTCTGAAATGTGTTAAAAATCGTAAGTTTACTAAAGAATGAAGATAATGACGATGCAAATATTTATTTATCGTTGTGGTTTTGCATATCGTTGTTTAAAGTACAAAACCGTGTAACTGAAATTTTTTGCCAAAAATTGGATTTGCTCACCGAAGCTCTTGGCTTAACCCTTATCCATTTGTCCTAAACTATATACCAGCCAGAAATGCTATTACTTTATAAAAGAGAGAACAATTTTGAAATATGAGTGTTTTTACTCTCTACAAAATAATTTATGCAACGTCACGTACGTGGTTTTGCATTATCTTTATGCGGTTTTGCATTATGTTAAAACGCGGTTTTGTACTTTAAACGACGATATGCTTGTTGATAAAGTGTTTTAACGAAAAACATGCCACTGTTAAGAAATTTTAAAATGATATATTTCAGGTTCACTATAGCCAATAGGGAAAGCAATTAAAGCGTTACTTGATCGAGTAACCAAGTGCTGAAACGTTTATAGTGCTGACAATGCTACAAGTTGGTGTACAAGAATTTCATGGGAAAAATAATCATATAGTCTTATATTTAGTGTATTCACATACGTGGCCGCTTAGTCATCTGTTGGTGACCCAATTGACCAAAATCATTACATCCGCATGAGTATACTTTTCCGTCTGAAGTCAAAAATAAAGTATGCTCGAGGCCGCATCCTATGCTGATTACAGAGTGTTCTGGTTTCCAGGGTATTTCTCGGGGTTCCAAAATCTAAGCGGAACGTGTGTCACTATTAATTTGTATCAAACTCTTAATAACCAATTAACCTCTTCTTCCTCAATGCCGCCCAGTCCAAGTTCGCCATGTTCTGTGTTGCCCCAGCCAAATATGGACATGATTGTATTGTCGATTTCTCCTTCGCGCAATGAACTATGCTTTCTTCGAGAACGCTGCTAACATTTTCCAACTATCTGGTTTTATTTTATGTTTTACAGCTATATATTTCTCACCGTTGCCTCTTGATCTGAAAGAAATATATGTAGGTCAATACAAATTTTTCTTCATTTATTAACGGCTAATTAACATACTATTTTTAAATACATATGTGTGTGGACTCAAAAGTTAACAAAATATTTGGGGAATCAATAGTATGCAAGGCAATTATCCACGGATTAAACAATTTTGTATGACATGGCGATTATTATTTCATTGCACGTTAATATGCATATATATAAATCTACATACCTTAAAAGTTTAATAAAACCTGTAATTTAAATCTCTGATTTATTAATTACACGAAAAAAGAAAAAAAAGATTTACGAAGCACTAAAGTGACTTTTATATTTTTCCATCTGTTTCTAAGAATTTTGAAATGAAAACAAAACTACAAGAATGTGACAGCTCAGAAAAAATGGAAATAAATGTTTGGCAGCACTGCAGAGTTGCATCACTGAATTAAAATAGGTCTATTCGAAGAGAGAAAATATCCCAAGTACGCGGGAATTTATTGTACTGCAATTTGGTTGTTGTTGTTGTTGTTGTTGTTGTAGCAGCATACAAATTCCCCAAAGACTTTTTGGGGAGTGTTGCTGGAGTGACAGTCCTTGGCCAGATATAAATCTGGGTCGTTCCGGTTACGTAGCCCCGACTGTCTGTTCGAAGAGAGAAAATATCCCAAGTACGCGGGAATTTATTGTACTGCAATTTGGTCATCACGAGCGCTTATTTAACAACCCAGCGACACGAACCGAGAGATTTTTGATAAATCCGTCAAGAGTTCGAGGATAATCGTAGCAATATGTACAATAGCATGAAACTGAAAATATGAACAGAATATAAATTAAAGGTTTGCCTAAAAATTTCTTCAGCAGGAATTAGCAACTTCCCCTTCCCACACATTCTGACTAATCCACTTTTAATAAATATTTAATTAGGGCCAATTTCAAATGAATATTTAAACGGCACTTAAGTTTAATTGTGGATTTTTGTTTAAATGCCATATAGCTTTCGTTGGGTTACAGATCGACTTTGTTTAAATATGTCTAACAATTGGCAGCACTGCTGCTTGTTCCTTGAAATTGTTGTTGCATTTGCTTGTTTGTTTACATTTTGTGCTGAACAGCTGATTGATTTGTGTTGGGATTTGGTGGGATTGATCTTGGTTGCTTGGTACAGACACAGGGTTGCATATATATTTAAATAGCCAATATTGGTCATTTAAGTGCAGCTTAAATATATGATCTTAAAATGAATTGATGAAGTTAATCGACAATCTCTACCTTAATAGGCCATCTGAAATTGGGCTTTACTAATGCAAGGCTATATTACTAAATTTGTATCTCTTTTGTCGGTTTTCTTTTTCATTTCGCTATATATAAATGCGATGAAAAAATGTTTAAATAAATTATTGGGTATTATTATTGGGAATCTCCTGTAGATAAACAGAGTTTTGGGGTAAAAATATTGGTTTTTAACTATTCTATACTATTTCTACGAAAAGTGGTTTTTTCCCCATATAAAATACATGGAAAACTTTAGGCGCTTTGAGCGACCTCTAAATATTTTTTGATTTCAAAATAAAAAAATAAGGGTATACTTTTTTTTCGGTATAGAACAATGCTAGGGGGTGAGAGCATAAAAATTCCGACTTTACTTTTTCAAATGCATTTTTGGACCACCCTAATGCACATACATATGTACATATGTGCGGATGCATGTATGAAAATATCTATGTACATATTACATAGGTATGTATGTATGTAAGTATATAGCATTTTTGTCTCTTGACTTAACGTAAGTAACATGCGCCATCATTTTTCTAAGTATCCTACTTACCAGACGCTAAAGCCGATTATCTTATCCTTTGCCCAGTATTTATCCTCTCGACACCAGATCTTTGACATCAAACATGCCTCCGAGCCCCGTTAAATATTGTCATTTGCCGTTATTAGCAATCATACATACATACATACAAACATAAGTGGCAGCTAGTGCCACGCAGTTCAACATAAAATGATTTTACGGTATGAGTTGGTAAGCTTAAATGACTTGAGGAACTGGTACGTTTTTTTCACTTTCGTAGACTTCGGATATCTAAAAATAATAGTAGTTGTTTGTTGTTTTATAGTATGTGTCATTAACTTACGCTATGGGAAATTATGATGTGTTTATGACATTTAATTAACCACAGATTCTATCGTGTGGAAGTAAAAAGTAAAAATACCTAACTAAATAATTTTCTCTCACGTTGTACAAAAATCACACTCTATAAGTTACTCATCATGTGGCATGGACAGTGAATACATCTGATGAAGCGGCTCTTGGAGTTTACGAGAGAAAGATTTTGTGAAAGATTTATAGGCCTTTTGCCAGTTTTCGGACTTAAGTACTCCAACTCTGGCGATAACGTTTCCAAGAGTCCCTTTCCTCGCCTCCTGGTTATCGCCTAGCGATCGCTGTGCTGACATGAGGCCCGCCTGTCTAAGAGTGTACTACATGTTATCAAATGGTACCCCCATATCGCTTTTTATCCGGCGATAACGTTTCAAGAGTCCCTATCCTAGCCGGTTCATCAGCCAGACAGTTCCCCGCTATGTCGCTGTGACCCGAACCCTATATGAGCCTAATACAGAACTATTCCGATGCAATAAAGAGAGCAGATATTGCTTAAGCAAATTAGAGCGCACCTTCAACGCACTTAAGGCCCTGATATCCGCTGGGCTATCAGAATAGATGCTCACCTCGCTGACTGTCATCGCGCTCCTGGGCAGTGACTCTACCGCCTCATTCATAGCAACTACTGAAATACACTGCAGCAGTCGAGAAGCCTGCTTCCTCCCTGCCGAAGTTCCGCCCCGCCAAATCCTCCCTTGAAGGAAAGTGGGTAGAGGGGAAGCTACTTGAAGCCATTTCGCTGGCGCAGTAATCCATGTGATCAGGCATGAAATCGAAGCTCCCTACAACTCCAGAGTGTCCAGTCCGTAAGCTGGTTTTCCCGGCGACGCGGCCGACAGCCACTACGTTCAGCATTACGTTATGTACCAATATGGCAGTGGTCCGCAGTGTCTCAATAATACCAATTAAAACATTCCGTTGTTCGTGCTTCAGCTGCTTAGCTAGTGTAGCCTTTGTAAGTGAGTTTCACCAGAGTAGGGCGCCATAAAACATAAAAGGCTTGACTACGATCTCGTAGAGCCAATAGACAACTTGGGGCGAAAGAGCCCATCTCATTCCAATAGCTCCCCTACAGCAGTATAAGGCCACTAATGGCTTTCTTGCCCTTTGCTCGATGCTTGGCCTGCACGAGAAATTCCTGTTAAGGATCAAGCCTAAGTACTTGACCTTGTCAGTTTTACAGAAGCAAGCTCGAAGGTCTAAATCAATTGCACTTTTTTTATTCTTATTATCCAAAACAACCAACGCTATACATATGTATGTATGTATGTATGTATGTATGTATAACGCATAAATTTGTTTAACAATGAAACAACGATTCGGAATTTTTGCCTCAAAGGTAAAGGGAACTTTCTATTTGTGCACGCTTAAACACAAACACACACATATGTATGTACATTTATACGTAATCTCGAATTGTTATTTTCTTACGCTGCATCTAATTTTCACCAGTCTTGCCAAGATTCCATTTGTCAAATGGAAATGTTATTACAATTACAATGAAATAACAATTAAATTTTCTAATCAACTTAAATTAGTATGTATCAAAATATCACCGAGAATTGTTAATGTCATTCAAAGGCAAAACCAAAAAAAGGAAAAACGTTTTGAAACTGCTGTTGTGTCAGGGTGACATGTCGTATGAGTGTTATCCCACTCTCCTTCGTTTAGTAAACACGCCCTAGGGTTTCTTCGCTTTTTGTTATTATTTTTTGTGTGTAAATATTTTCCTGTACATATGTATGTATGTGTGCATGTCACACATGTCCTTCGCCCTTAATGTGTATGCTGCTTTGTTTGAAAGTTGCAAAATATAATTAAGGCCTCAAGCGGGAAATTGTTTAAAATTGCATTTATTTATGTATGATTACGTAACAGATATATACATACGTATGCACATACATATACCTATGTATGTATGTGTGTATGCAATTATGTACGTCGTGTCTTGGTTGCCACTTAAATAATGAAAAAGAGCATACAAAAAAATACAGCAAATAATAATGAATGTGTGGTGTACTTAGTTAGGTCGTGAAGTGACATAAATTAAAAAATAAAATCAAAATTTGCGCAAATAACGAACTGCACAGTGATACAAAAAATAATGAAGTAGCAATACCTGGGAAGTGATGACGTTTTTCTTGCAGGTCTTGCTGTGTAAAGCAAGAATCGTCATATGACATTTTTCAAACGCCACCAAAATTTAGACATATTTACGTTTAAAAAAACGGGGTTTTATACCATTACGCGATTAAAAATCAGAGACGGCAAATAATCTATCTTTTTTTTTAATTTAATAAAAAAAAAAAAACAAACATGCTCTAAGCATCGAACAAAAATTGTGATCGCTGATATGTTTCTTCTATATTCTGTTATCATTTTTGTTGGATTATATACTTTGTTATAATATACTTTACGAAATTGTTCT